GGAGCACCGCCGAGGCTTGCGATCCCGTTGCCGGTCCCCGGTCCGGTACGGGGGCAACACTGAGGGTTGCGATCCGTTGCCGGACTCGGAAAAAAAGACAAAAGAAAAAAAAAAAAAAAAAATCCACAGATTTATAGTCAAGAACACACAATGGGGAAAGGTGAGGCTCTTCAATAAATGGTTCTGGGAAAACTGGACATCCACATGCAGAAGAATGAAATCAGACTCTCATCTCACACAAAAATCATTACATTAGTAATTATTGAAGCTGGGTGACTTACGGGAATTTATTACAGTATTCTATTTTGTATAAGTTTGAAATTTGCTAAAAACAAAAACAAAACCAAAATGCACATTTTACATTTTTCACTATATATCTGAATGAAAACCAGAAAAGTAAGATAAATTTAATCCCCTCCCCCCCCCCCGAAATATTTTCTTCACTCGAAGAAAAAATAAATCTAGAAATAATAAGAGCCAGTTAGGTTTCTTTGGGTAATTTTCAGGAACCTGAAAAGATTTTAGATAGCTTATCTAAATGTCTTAATACTTTCTTAATCGCTAATTCCTAGCTTCAAAGGAAAGTATACCATCTGGTCACCTGCTTGCGTAACAATTCTTCCTGTTTCCGCCTTTCTTCCTCTTCTCTTCTTCTTTCCTCCAGTCTTCTAAGAGTTTCTTCTTGCTGCTGTCTTTCTTCCTCTTCTCGCTGCCTCCTTAATGCAATTTCTTGCTCCCTCTGGCGTCGTAGAGCTTCTTCCTAAAAAAAAGGGGGGGGGGGTGTGAAACTCTGGGTCTATCAATCAATATATTACATAATAAATTGAAAAGGAATATGTTATTTGCTGCTAAGGCTCTTTTAGCAGTAAATACAAAATGTATACAAACAGGAATAGAGTAAAAATTATACATATAAGTTGGAAAAGTGGGCACATTAAGAGTTAAAAAAAAAACTGTATTTAAAATATTAGTAGTTAAAACGCAATGGCACTGTGAAGTCTATCCTGGTTTCTATTATTAGCTACATCATTTACTGATTAACCCAAGAAAGGCGCTACATTAAAACTCAGCTATGATTTCTCCATTGGTACTTTTAGTCTCTATTTTTTAATCAACTGGGAATGTAAGGCATAGAGAGGTCAAATCAACATAGCCACCAGAAATTCCTGGTGAGGTAGAATAAGGTCTCCCAGTCAGAAGTACTGAGTAAAGCTGTGTGTCCCAGAACATGTTCTGAAGAACAAAAGTCCCGAGGATATTATTAAGAACTACACAGAAAGGGGTCCTGTGGTTGAAATCATTTAGGAAGCAGAGAGCAACACAAAAGTAAACAGACTGCTTTAATGCAGTACTTCTTAGAGTCTTTATATGCTGAAGTATAGTGTGACTATAAGAAATATCAGTAGTTCTAATCTCATCGCAGCATGGATCCTTTGGTGTTTCACAGGAAATCTCGTGAGGCCAACAAGTAGGAAATGTGGGGCCATTAGACAGTGGATTCTTTCAAATGGAGTCTATGAAAAACTCAATAGAAAAATGGGCCAAGCACATGTACAGTGAATTTCCATAAAAGAAAATGGCCAAAAAACATGAAAAATGTTAAACTTCATTGGTTAGATTTAGCTACAAGGATTTTCATTCGAATACTCTCACATAACAATGAAAAGCTGGAAACAACTCTCATGTCCAACTATAGAGAATTGGCTAAATTACTGTAATTAATTTATAACATGAAATTTCCTATAATCAGCAAACATGATGATGTACCATTTGTAGATGTACATTTGACATGGAAAGATGACATGATTCATTAATGTCAAAGGTAGGTTATAAAAAAACACTAAGTACAAATAATACATACTTCTCAAAAAAGCATATATAATTATATGCACAGTTTTTTTTTTCTACTTATTTTGAAACACTAGTCACTAAATAAAGAGTAGGAGAGGTTCTTTAAGGGAAAGAATAAAGAGAGGGCATAGGTCTTAGTCGGATAAATATACCTTTAAAAAGAACACCTGGCCAATAAGCATGTGAAAAGATGCTCAACATCACCAATCATTAAGGAAATGTAAATCAAAACCACAATGAGATACCACTTTATACCCATTAGCAAGGCCATTATCAAAAAGACAAACAGCAGATAACAAGTGCTGGCTGGGATGTGCAAAAATTGCAACCCTTGTGCATTGCTTGTGGGAATGTAAAATGGCTGTGGTAAACAGTATGGTGGTTCCTCAAAAAATTAAAAATAGAATTACCATAACATCCAGCAATTTCACTTGTGGGTATATATCCAAAAGAGTTGAAAGCAAAGATTCAAACAGATATCTATACATGCATAGTCATGGCAGCATTATTCACAACAGCCAAAATGTGGAAGTCATCTACATGACCATCAACAGATGAATGGATAAACAAAATGTGTTATACAAGGGTATTTCCAAAAGTTTGTAGAAAAATAGAATTAAAAGACAATCCGAATCCTTCCATGGACTTTTTTGAAGTACCTTTGTATACATACAATTCTTTTAGACTTAAAAAGAAAGGAAATTCTGGCACATGCTACATCATCAATGAACCATAAGTGAAATAAGCCAGTCACAAAAGGACAAATATTATCTGATTCCACTCATACGAGGTACCCAGACACAGAAAAAAGAAAGGTGGTTATGAGAGGCTGAGGGAAGGAGGGAATGGGACTCCTTGTTTAATGGGTACAGAGTTTTAAGTTAGGGAAGGTAAAGAAGTTCTACACATAAATGGTTGTGACACACACTGCAAATATACTTAACGCCTCTGAATGCACACTTAAAATGGTTAAAAGGTAAGTAAATTTTATGTTATGTACTTGTGTATGTCATAACAATTTTTTATTTAAAAGCCCATTTAGCTTTAACAATTTTTACATTTAATACGTGCACCAAAGTTACTTCCTTATTGTTTTTAGCAGCAAAGGTAGAACTTCTGTAATCTAACTGGTTTATAAAACCCCAGGAAATATGCACAGGAAATGAATTCCAATGGTTTACGCAGACCGAGGAATATCCCTCCAACGGGTGTTGGTGGAAAACAGAGATTCTTCGTAAAGGTGAGTTAGTCTTTAAAGGTTCTAATTCCAACCCTACTATTAACTCCTGTTGACCTCAGGAATGGAGTACCAACCAGTACCTGTGAAATGATGAAAGTGAGCAGTATGAAAGCCTTTGTCAAGCGCTAATCCAATGGTCAGAGTTCCCAGAGATATACCTGTTTCCTTCGGGCAAGCTCTTCTTCCTCCCGCCTTTTCCTCTCTTCCTCCTGCTGTCTGCGAAGAATTTCCTCCTGTTGTCTTCTGAGTTCTTCTTGCCTCTTCCGCTCCTCTTCTTCCCGTTTTGCTCTCATTTCTGCCTCTCTTCTCTCCTGCTCTAGCTGCAATTACATGAGAGCACTCTTAGAAACTTGAAACCAACCACAGGAACACTCAAAAACCATTGACCAGTATTGTTAAAAGAAGCTGGAATGTGCAGACACCACCATTCACTCAATTATTTGTACTGCAACTGGGTGATGAAACCCTGAAAAAAACTCTTAAGTCTGATATGGCACAGTAATCAGAACAGCTCTTCTAAATTGAATGCACTTTCCTCCCACTTTTACCTACCTCCTCACTCTACACTACCATTACACCACTTCTGCTAAATGTGGAATAGAAAATGGCCAGTGTGAGAGTAACATCAGAACTCTCTTGGGATGGTATTTCTTTACTCATCCCTACAAAGAATTTTCTGATTGACGATCTAACAGTGTGGCTAGAAGGTTTCAACAGCAATGTTGTAAAGTTGCCAGTATGAAAATTTCGCAGTTCTTTAAATAACAATCATTTAACAAAGTTTATCATTTACAGTTCCCAAATACTAATCAAATCCAGCACCTACTCCCTGGTCCCATTGTCAAAACTATATTTTAGGCCTTCACTTTTCTCACTCACATTCCCTAGTGTCTTTTATCCCAACATCCAGTTTTGCCCACATTCTCTAGTTATTCAACAGCACTTTTCACCCTAAAAATAAATTCTAACTCTTTAATGTGATATGTACAAGGATCCTCATGACTGGCCTTCCTCGTCTTCTTTAGTCTATTCTTTCATCTTTTATTTCTCAGACGCACCACTGCTCCAAGGCAGACCAAATTACTTAGCTGTTTCCCAAGTCCAGCATGTTCTTGGTTGTATTTCCTTCGACTACTATTTAATTTTCACCTTCTTGTACTTTGACATCCCAAAACACTTCAACTAGGCTAAATCCTACTATTCTTCAAGTGAAAATTAGCTCAGGTATTTCTATCCATCAAAAGTGCCACCCAATTCCTGATCCCTACCTCTCCAACTGGGTAGCTAGCCCATATACTCTTGACCACCCTGTGATTTTAAGTGCTACTAGTCTATGTCTGGGGAAACCTAGACTACAACACACAAGTCTGCAAACTCCGTGAAGGACCCTATCTTTCATCATCTATGTGTTCCCAGCACAAAGCACTGGGGAACTAGAAGACACTCAAAACTGTCTGGCCTCTCATTCATTTATAAAGACAGACCCTAACCATGAATCTTTCCACATTCTGGGCACTCTAAGGAAACTGACATTACCACAGGGGATAAGAATGCATTAAGTATAAAATAGTACCAAGACTCACTCGGAGAGATGAGAACCCAGAAATTATCACAAGTCACTAGGTGTTGATACAGACATCCTCTTCTAGCAAGTACTAAAATCAAAATTCAAGATTCCTAGCTCTTCCACAAAATGTGAACAGAACACAGGATCTAATAATGTTAGTGTTGGGCTTTTTAGCTGTATGTATGGATACTAGGAAATGTAAATAAACACCACTATAAAGATTCAATGTGGTGGGCTGACCAGTTAGCTCAGTTGGTTAGAGATCAGTGTTGGTAACACCAACGTCAAGGGTTTAGATCCCTGTACCAGCCAGCTGCCAAAAGAAAAAAAAGATTCAATGTGGGAACTCAAGCCACAGATCAGAAATCTAATAACCAATGTAGTGAATATTTTCTCACAGTACTTATAACAAATGTTCATGCTATGAGTAAAGTAACTAAACATACATATAACCACGATTATTAATGTGTCAACTAACCACTCCCTCACTCATTAATTTTAATTGTTTTGAGGTCATTTGGAAGAAAGGGGCATAAGGATAGAATATGAACGAACTTATACCAGCTAAGTAAGAGTAGCTAAAAGGAAAAAGTATAGCTATGTCATGATAAAGTCTCTCAAGTAAAGAAAAAAAGAAAAAAGTACAATTAGCTAGAGAGACTTATGAATAAACAGAAGTGCTTGTGTCCTTATGTCCAGAGGCATGCACTGCCATGAAAGAATGGGTTTCAGACCTTCGCAGCTTTGGCCTTTTCCAGCTGCTGAAGCTGCTCTAGGGCAGGGCCTGGCGTTGTGCTGTCCAGGGGAAGATCCCATACACTACCACCTTCCCAAACTGTAAGACAATGAGGGAAAAAATGAGAGATGTCAGAGCTTACACACATGGTCACATATCCATAAGCATAATGAAAAAACTGCTTCCCTGTGCCTGAATATGCTCCATCATACACATTCTGGTTTTGCTTTTAAGTAGACTGAACTGCCAGTGGGCTCTAGTTTCAGTCAATATCTTTGAACACATCTAGAAGGAAAGGAAGTACAAAACATTTATTGGGGAACTAACTTCATCCTCACAAAGCCCTGTAAGGTATCTATACATATCCCCATCCTTACAGAAGAACAAACTAAGTGTCAGAGGTAGTTTTGTAACACTCCCAAGGGCACGTGGCAAGCACGTGGCCATGTCAGGTTTAAATCCCAGTGCGTGAGATTCCAAAGCCCATACATTTCCATTCCCAGTCTCTTACTTCACACCAACCAGAGAAAACTAGGTGGTTGTACAACAATGAAAATGTATTAAATGTCACTGAACTGTTTACTTTAAGATGGTCAACTCTGTGTTATATGAATTCCATTGCAATAAAAAGAAAAGAGATAAAGTACTACAGCTGGAGATGAGGAGGCCTCTGGAAAGGTTGGGCAGGTCTCACAAGTGACACTTGGCCCTGCTGACATGACAGGCAACATACAGTCAGATATGACAGTAAACAAACAGATAAAGCCTTCTGAGTCTATTTTCCTACTGCCAGCAAGATTTCTTGATACCACTTTTCAGTCTCTATTTTCTACATTCCTATTTTACTGTATTTATGAATTAATATATATTGTCTGTTTAAAACCAATGGACCCTGATTGCATACAAACCCAAAGACAGAAACTGTTTAATAAGGTTCTTACGGTTTCCAAAAAATTTGAGACTATTTTAACATCCAAACAATAAATGGCTACTAAGAAAAAATAAGGTACGCAAAGCATGGAAAGTTGATGAGGACAATCAGTCCTTCTCCTGCCATAATCTGCAGAATCGATGTTACAAGAGAACTATGGCCTGAATGGCTCAGTAGCTCTAAGAAATCTTCATCAATGCCTATAGTTCTGCTAATTTTCAACACCAACTATAATCTCTTGTAAGAGCTATCCATGGTTCAAACTCTCCATCTCTGCAGGTATCAGATCTCTGGAAACAAAAGTGCTCCACCAATATCAAGACTTTAAAAAAAAAAATCCCAACTCCAAATTTCCTAATTTGATGCAAAAATATCAGAGAATGAGGGAAAATGTTTACTTCAAGGCAGGCTTTTCTCTTTCCAAAATTTCTGGGTACCTGGCATGTTAATACATATATCAATCCTTGACTCAAAAATGACAGATCACCATTACTTATGTTTTTATTTATGTTTTTTTTTTCACTCTGGCTGAAGAGATCAAAAACAATTTTTTTTTTCCTTTTTGTCTTTTTTACTGACCGGTAACAGGATCGCAACCCTCGGTGTCGCGCCCGTACCGGGGACCGGCAACAGGATCGCAACCCTCGGTGTTGCGCCCACACCGCGCTCAGCCAGTGAGCGGGAACTGGTCTCCACATGGGATCCGAACCCTCAGCGGGAGCGCCGCCACGCTCCCAAGTGGCACACTCTCCAGTGCGCCACCGGGCCGGCCCCAAAAACAATTTAAAAAGACTTTTCCACACTGGTTAGAACACCGTAAAAAAAAAAGGCTGACTCAAATTTAAGAAATCTGTCTACTAAATAATTTCTAAGATATCCTTAAGTGTATTTTCAACAATATCTTCAATCTTTTGCTGGGATCTACTACAACATGAAACTTTTTGTTAATATTCATTACAAAATAGATTTGTAAAACCCGAATCATTTTTTAAAACTTTTATTATAAAATTATTATTAGATTCTATATCCTTGGAACTGTACTAAAGGCCAGTCTAAATTTTTACCTGTAGGCTGTGAGGCTGTTGGCTGAAGTTCCCAGATAGAGCCAGTGTCTGGCACTGACACAGATCTAGTTACTGAGGGAATGATGTTCTGATCAGATATTCTGCAAAAGGGAAATAAAAAAATCAATTTATTCTTGTATTTTGCAAAAATAAAATAAAGAAGAATTTCTAGATCATTTGAAAGTCCTTCCAGGTTATTTGGCCAGAAAAAAATTTGGTTATTTCCATTGTTTTAACTAATACCTAACACTACCAAAGCAGGCAAGAGAGGAATAATGATAGAGGCAAAATGACTGCACTTCTAGAATCCTCTATGGTATTAGCAAATACTGATTTCTAAATGATGGATACACGCACTGTCTTTAAAAATCCAGATTATCTCAATAAAACTAACAGAAGCAGCATGCTATAATGAAAAAGCCCTGGACGGTAAGCCAAAAGGTCTGCACTTTAGTTCTGTCTCTAAAGTTTTGTGTATTATGTTCGCCAAGTCCTTTAGCCTCTCAGTCCCAGTTTGTCCATCCTTAGAATGGAGACCCTACCCACCTAAACTGCTTACCTCATAGGATAGGTTAATGCTCAAAAGAGAAATATAAATGATTTTTGTTAAATGGGACAATAAGGTTTGTCCAACATTTTTGAAAGCAGTAACTGATACCTATTCAAGAGATAAGACAAATATTACCCATTTAAAAATGATAATCTGGGGCCAGCCCGTGGCTCACTTGGGAGAGTGTGGTGCTAATAACACCAAGGCCACGGGCTTGGATTCGGTATAGGGATGGCCGGTTAGCTCACTGGGTGAGCGTGATGCTGACAACACCAAGTCAAGGGTTAAGATCCCCTTACCAGCCATCCTTTAAAAAAAAAATAAAAATAAAAAATAAATAAAAATGATAATCTGAAATGCAAAAATTTAAGAATTCCAGCATAATTTCCTTTTCCTTAGACCTTACCTTAAGAGCTTTTGGGCTCCAGAAAATTGAAACCCTTTGTGGCATTAATATCTTTGTTGAGATATCATGGGTAAAACATGAAATTGAAATCCTAGATAGCAAATTTTTTGTTGAAAATTCCATAAGACTACATTGCTTCTCAAGAGTCCTCAATATTCTTTAGTTAGTACTCAAAATTTATCCTCTGTGAGTAAAAAGACCAAATAAATGCTTATCTCCAGCTAAATTACTATTTTCCAAAACTACATTATTTTTACACACAACATATTGTTTTTGTTTGTTTGTTTGTTTGTTTTTACATTGTTGAATGTGTTTATTTGCAGAAAGTGTAAAAATATATTCCAGTTCTTTCCTTCATTGTTGCAGAGTTTGAATCACTAAAAAAAAAAAAAATACTGGAAGGGGATTTGTTGTGTTTAATTATTTATTTATTTATTTATTTATTTATTTATTTATTAAATGTGTATTTTCCACTGAATTGTGGCATTTTTTTTTTCCTTTAAATTTTTATTTTGTCAGTATACAATATAGTTGATTCTTATGGCCCATCACCAAAACCTCCCTCCCTCCTCCCTCTCCCCCCTCCCACCCAAGAATGTCCCTTCCATTTACTTGTTGTAAAAACTTCAAAAAATTGTAGTTGTTATATCTTCTCCCCCCCCCCCCCGGTTTTTTTTTGTGTGTGTATGTGAGTGAATTAATTTATTTATTTTTAGCTCCCACCAATAAGTGAGAACATGTGGTATTTCTACAACATATTGTTTTTATACACGTACACACAAAATGCGCTGTACGTGGGTATTCTGATATCAGAATTCACACATTATACCAAACTTTGCTTTCTCTCTTTCTCACACACACACGTGCAATGCAACACATTATGGAATGACCACCAACCTCATCTTCAGAGCCTGGAACTGCTGAAGAAGAAGTGCCAACTGTTGCTGCTGCTGGGAAGATAGGGCTGCTTTCTGCTGTTGAGCCAAAACCTGAGCATATTGTTGTCTACAAAAAGTTTTTTTTAAAAAAGTGTAACCCATTTATCCACATTTAGTTCACTAGGCTGATACTTTGACAGGCAAAGTTCAATTCACCACCCCCCAAAAAACACATTAGAAATAGCTATCAGGAGCTGGCTGGTTAGCTCAGTTGGTTATAGCACAGTGTTGTAACCACAAGGTCAAGGGTTTGTATGCCCATACCAGCCAGCTGCCAAAAAACAACAACAATAACAAAAAGAAATAGCTATCAAATACATTTTACAATTCTTATCATGATAACAGTCACACAGAAAATTCTTTAATTTATTCCTGAAAGAACTGAACTCATTGATAACATGTTTCTGAGTAAAAGAGCAAAAAATAGCACAAAATGTCAGAAACTGGCAAATTCCCTCAAGATGATACATTTTTATCAAAAAATAAGGCAAAAAATGAAACAGACTCAAATTAACAGCTAGTTCCATATGAAGTACGCTTTGCAAAAAATAAAATCACTTCTATAAAAACTCCCATATTTGTAAGTTTCAACGTGGAAAATTTTACGGTTTTTTTTTGGGGGGGGGCTAGATCAGGGGTAAACATACTTTTTCTGTAAAGGGCCACAGAGTAAATATTTTTGGCTTTGTGAGCCATATAGTCTCTGTTGCATCTACTCAATTCTGCCACTATAAGGCAAAAGCAGCCACAGACAATCTGGAAACAAATGGGTGTGTCTGTGTTTCAATAACACTTTGTTTAAAAAACTGGCAACAGGCTGGACTTGGCCTCAAGGCCAGACCTTGCCAACCTCTGCACCTGATGGCAGTAAACCTTACTCCTTCTACAAAAGGGACACACAACCTAAGTGGTTTTGCCATCATTCCACACCACTCCTAACAGTATAAACTTTCTTTCCCAGCCTCTTCCCTATGTTTTTTTCTCTGGCATTTAAAGCTGAGCCACTCAGGAGGCGCTTAGTTCTTAAAATGCTTGTTGGTTCTTCCTTTAGAGGCTTGCAAAATTATAGTCATGTGTCACCTTCTGCAAACTTCTGGTATTAAGAAGATAAGAATAAAGTTAGGGGCCGGCCCGGTGGCGCACTGGAGAGTGCGCCACTTGGGAGCGCAGCGGCGCTCCCGCCGAGGGTTCGGATCCCATGTGGAGACCGGTTCCCGCTCACTGGCTGAGCGCGGTGCGGGCGCAACACCGAGGGTTGCAATCCCGTTGCCGGTCCCCAGTACGGGCGCGACACCGAGGGTTGCGATCCCGTTACCAGTCAGTAAAAAAAGACAAAAAGAAAAAAAAAAAAAGAATAAAGTTAGAATGTATAACGGTAACATGCCACTAGCTGGGCGACCAAAGTATCAGATAAGCCTTCAGCTCTTTCTGTTGTAAAATGTGAGATTTGGGAGCAGATACTATCTAAAGCCCCTTTTGGTGCTGCAGTACATCCTACTCCATTACTGCTCTTACTGTATTAAGAACTGCTGGTACTGGAGGTGCTGCATCTGGTATAAGGCCGTGAGTTCCTGCTGCCTGGTCAGTCGTTCCTGATCCAACTCTCCCTGGAAGTGAAGGGGTAAGGGAAGAAATACCATTAAATCAATTGCAAAGAACCTAAAAGCCACTTAGTATATATATCAGAAAACAAAATGAACCCAAGACCTTCACCTCACAAAGCTACACAATGCCATCTAGTGGAGTAAGGTGGTGTCTACATTATAAGAGATTCCCCTTATTCAAGTGGAATAGAGAGAGTGTGGTCTACGTTATAAGGGATCCCTTAAGGTGAGAAAGAGTCATTTCAAAAGCTGCTGTTCTCCACTCCTTTCTTTAAGCCGAATGTTGAACTGTACTCCAGAGTTATTACTATAACTGAAAAATTGTATAATTCTCCCAATCTTAAAAGTCATTTAAACATTTTAAGATCACGTAGAAATTAGAAAAATGCAACAACATAGAAAGGAGTAAAATTATCTAAATGTTAAAAGAAATGTTATGGTAGGAATTTTATAATAGCACATAATAAATACAGTGAACCAGTGTGTAAGTTTGAAGATGTTGAGAACTTAAAAAGAGCTTTGCTCTCTACCCAAATTTTAGGTGTTTCTAATGCTATTAATACATCATGAGTTAGAAAAAAATAAGCTGTAGTATAACACTTATTTTTAAGCTTACATTTAAAATAACGACTGGAATTTTAATTTTGAAAAGTTAAAAGAAAAGAAATGTGAGATGTAAGATAATAGAAATAAAAAGCATAAGGATGACACATTAAACTTAGGCAAATCTCGAGGGAATCCTTTATATTTTTATTATACACTGGTTATAGTTTGAAATAAAACAATTGATACACAATTTCTTACGTTAGGGACTTTTTTCTTTCTCATTAAATATTGGAAGACAGAACCTAAAATGGTTTAATCTAAAATTTCTACATGAAAACCTAGGTTTCAAGATATCATCATAAAGGTGAGCTCCCTTCTTTATCATTGCTACTGAGGGCAAAAGCAATAGCTGATAGAAAGCAGAGCTTTCCATAGTTTTTCTCATTAAAGAGGTAATATTGAGGCTTAGTCCCTACCTATAACTAGAAGTTTGAAAATAATCTAGAGAAAGCATGCCAAGATCCAAATGAGGAGCTTTTATTAGCTCTTAAAACATTCAAGATTAAAAACCCATTTCAATTTCAGAGAAGGGAAAAGGAGCTCAAAATTAGTATAAAAGTTAAATTTATATACGATAATACACAGTATAATTTTTATTTGGATTTAAAACAGCTAGGAGGATGTCAGAATCTAGGAATCTTCCATTTAGACCACTGCTCTCCAAACTATAGCTCTCAACCCGTTAGTGGACTGTGAAATCAATTACCAGATCAAGACCAATATTTAAAAGAAAAAAAATAAAAAGAACAGAAAATACGTGCATGGCACAAAATGTTTTGTGAAATTTGTAATGCACACACATAAACGCACAGTTATGAAATGTACAGAGTACTGATGTCAAATACTTTTTTGGGGAGGGGGGCTATGAGTCATGGTCAAGAAAGTTCCTCATCTACAAACTCCCTTGACTACAGAGACTATGTCTTACTCATCTCCATCTCATAAGAACCTACCACAAAGCCTGGCACAGGCCCTCAATATATAGTTGATAAATAAGTCAATGGTGGATGTTACCGTAGAAACCCAGTGTTCACACTAAAGGTTTTTGACTGGTCACTTTTAACTATAGCCAGCCATTAGACACTCCAACCTGGAGAAGGAAAAGTAAGGTACAGATCCAGACCTCCAAAAGGAATTCTACTGGGAGAGGCCCAGGAGCAGCTGCAAGAGAAAGAAAGATGTCCCTGCCAAAGGTACTCCAGTGCCAGTGCCCCAGGAAGGTCGCTAGCTTTATGGTTCCACTTTTAAATTAAAATACCAGTGACTAATTTTTTTTTAATATTCAAAATATTCTGAAGCACTGGTGACATTTTTTAAGGCAAATGTCAAATTTAGAAACTTGATGAGTCACAAAGCAACAAGTAAATGGAGAGGAAGAGAGGAGAATGTGCACTCTAACTAGAGGCAACAAGGAACTCGAAGAGGTCGACTATGTTGAAGCATAGCAGATAAAAGTCAAAGCTCTGAAATTAGCTTAGAAAATTAGAAAGGAAAGAAGCCAGACCACGCAGGACCTGGTATATAACAGGCCAGGATAAGATGCTGGTCTTCATTCTACATCTGCTGGAAAGCTACTGAAGGATTCTGTTTCTCTGGGGTGCGCGTGCACATGTCTGTGTGTAGAGGATGGGACAGGTATTTGAGTTTTGAAAAGATCATTATGGCTAGGTATTCAGTCTACCGTTCACATTTCCACTACCATTTCAATTATTTTTAACAACCTATAATTCCTTCCTCATTATAACATTTGTGCTTTTGCACCTAATATGTACTCCAGGTGAGCTGTAAAGTACTTACCATATGAGGAGGAGGAGCTGGACCTGCAGAGAACGGAACCCTTCCCCACATTTTCATGATATCACCAAGAGGTTGGAAGCTCTCATCACATGCTCTCTTCACCAATAAAGACATAGTAAAATAGCCCGCCTGAAACCATTCTGCCATCTCCTGATTATTGAAGGGACCTATAGTAGCACCAATTAAACAGAAGTGCAATAAGAATCCTTTCAAGCTCAAAGAGGAAAAAAATATTTCCTGAGTCTAATCCTCACCCAGGTGTCACCTGTCAAAATTTTTTATTTGAATTCACTTCCAAAGGTGGTAAATAGGCTTCTAACTAATAAAATACAATAGGAACAATTTTGAAATAAGCCCTTTGATTATACATCCCAAATTCTCAGCAGGGCTTTAATTATTATAAGCAGCATAACTGTCTCTATCTCAATCTCTGCAACTCATTTGTCAGAAAAGTATGATACAACCAAAAAGAGTGAATAAGTGTTGCCTAGACTTTGTATCACACTTAGGCATAGAGAATGTACAGGGCTGAACCAACTTTTTTCTAATTTTCATTTTCTGCCAGAGATCAGTGAATATGGGGCAAAATATAAACAAAACAATTATCAATTAAATTAAGGCAAATTACAATTTACTTACCCAGGTAAGACAGATTTAAATGTGGCCTCGGTATGGGGGAAAAAAACTAGCACTTTCTAGATGTTTTACAATAAGAAATAATCGAGTATTTTATACATAACATTAACAAACAAATGCACACTAATCAAGAAACCATTAATTAATTCATTCAACAACTATTTCCTAAACACTAACTATATGACCTAAGCAGTGATATAGCAATATCCAAATCAAAGCTTGGATATCCCACTTCAGGAAGATGAAGTAGATGTACTTTTCCCTACTCCTCCAGCTAAGTGCAACTAAAAACTCTGTACAGTACATATAAAACAAACAAAAGAACACTCTAAAAGGTGGAGAGAAGGCAGATTGACTAGTGGCCTTGAGGCCTGAGAGGTGAACTCCCTGGGTTTTCTTTTTACCTCATATATTCCAGATTTGGAGATGAAGCAGCAGCAACCAGAAACATCACTCAATTACATGCTCTCTACAAGAAAGTCAATCCAAATATAATGAAGTAGGCAGAGTAAAAGTAAAAGGATAGAAAAAATATACTATGCAAACATTAATGAAAAGAAAGCTATAACGGTGCTCTATCAGAAAAAGTAGACTTCAGAGCAAAGAAAACAACCAGAGGACTTCCAATCAAGACGGCAGCATAGACGGTACCCAGCATCACTCTGTCCCACAATCAACCAATTTACAACTATTAAAAAGAAACAACTGCCAAGCTGGGACCACTACAGCTCAGGGGAAGAGGAGGAGAGTCCTACAGAGTGCATGAAGGCAGGAGAAGCCATATGAGAGAAAGAAAGAAAGAACTCCATGGGCCGGCCCGGTGGCGCACTGCTACAGTGCGCCGCTTGGGAGTGTAGCAGGGCTCCCGCCAAGGGTTCGGATCCCACATACAGACCGGTTCCCGCTCACTGGCTGAGCGAGGTGCGGACGCAACACCGAGGGTTGCGATCCCGTTGCCGGTCCCGGTCCGGTACAGGCGCGACACTGAGGGTTGCGATCCGTTGCCGGACACGAAAAAAGACAAAAAGGAAAAAAAAAAATAAAGAAAGAACTCCAACTGTTTCGAGTGCCAACCACTTCAAGGCTGGCCCTAGTGAGCACATGGAGCAAGAGCTGGCAAAAGCCACTGCTGTGCCCTTCGTATGAAGTTGCTTGGAAGCTGCAGGGGAGAAGAGGGCCTTGGTGGCCCCCAGGTCAGCAAGACTACTAATAAGGGTCCTGTAGACTCACACAGGAGCCACAGACAACTGAAAAACGGAGCCACTCAGAGGCCAGTGAGTTTATAAGGGACTGTCACATGGCCTGTCCCATGGGAAGTATTTGGAGTGTGGGAGGTAAGGGAGGCTCGCCCACTGGGAGAACACTAGGGCATAGCGTGGACAGCTGATTTGCCCTCCAATCAGCACAGGACCACTCAGTGGAGACTGGTCAGGAATACAGAACTGCAGGGGTTGCAATTTGCTGAAAAGACTCAGGCCCAGACCAGAGTTTACACACAACCTGGGTGTACCAGACCTCACAAGATCTGGAAGTGCTTACAAGGTCAACAATTAAAACCTGAGCTGCAAAGAAAGCCTTCCCCAGAGAAACAGCAGCAAAGCAGCAATTTAGCTCAACCACAGGGCTCAAGTGCTGGTTCCAACAGGAAGTTTGCCCATTTTAGAAGTAAGCAAAGGACAACAAATTAGTTCCAGTGCACAGTTTAGTGGTGGGAACAGCAAATAATCCAACACAGGGCTGAAAGAAAAAACAAAAAAACCACAGATCAGAGATAACGTTCTGATATTAACCAGTAGAGGTCTAACACCACCAAAGAACACCTATAAAACCTAGAAAGACCAGAGGCCCCCCAGGCTCCCAAGCCAGGGCAGCGGGGAGCCAAGGATCTCAGCCATGCCCCTCACATCCTCATCCAGCCCAGCGACAACCACCCAGCCACCACCGGAAGCACCCCTGGCCCAAGCCATGGCAGTGGGGAGCTGAGGGCCTCAGTCATGTCCCCCAATGTCCGCATTCAGCCCAGCTTCAACTGAGCCACTGACAGAAGACCCCTGGTCTCCCTTGCCAGAATGAGGGGGGTGCCATGGGCCTCAACCATGCCCCCCTCCCTCCTTCCTCCTCCTCCCACTGTATCTCCCTCCCCCTTCTAACCAACTGCTCTACGACATCTTAGAATGTAAAAAAATAAGTAAATAAATTTTTAAAAAAAGAAAATGACCAGAGACAAAAAGAGGCATTATATAATAATAAAGGGTCAACCCACCAAGAATATACAGCAATCATAAATATATATGAGCCAGACAACAAAGCGGTAAAATATGTACAGCAGGATCTCACAGAACTGGAAAAAGAGACAAATCCACAAGTTGAAGACTTCAACACCCCTCTCTCAACAACTGATAGAACAAGACAGAAAATCAGAAAGACCATAGAAAAACTCAACAACACCATCAAACAGAAGTGAGTTGATATTTACAGAACACTCCAAAGACAGCAAAATACACATTCTCTTCAAGCACCCAAAGAACATGTAGCAACATTAAACCATATTCTGGGCCATAAAACAATTCTCAAAAATTTTTTAAAATTGAACTCATGCCTAGTATATTCTTTGACCACAACAGAATCAAGCTAATAATAAACAACAAAAAGATAACAGAAAAATCTGCAAACACTTGGAAACTAAAAAACACACTTCAAAATAACCCATGGGTAAAAGATACACAGAAATGAATGAAAATAAAAATACACTTATCAAACCCACAGCTAAAGGGTTGCTAAAAGAGAAATTTATCGTATTAAATGCTTGCATTAGAAAAGAGGAAAAATCCCAAATCAATAATCTAAGCTCCCAACTCAAGAACCCAGAAAAGGAACAAAATAAACCCTAAGCAAGTAGAAGGGAAAAAATAATAAAGAGTAGAAATCAATGGAATTGAAAACAAAAACAATACATAAAAATCAATGAAACAAAGAGCTGACTCTGAAAAGACCAATAAAACTGATAAACCTTTAGAAAGAATGACAAAGAAAAAAAGAGAAATATATAAATTACCAATATCAGGAATAAAATATATCACTACAGAACCTACAGACATCAAAAAATAAGAGAAAGCACTACAAACAATTCTACACACATAAATTTGATATCTTAGACAAAATGAACCAATTCATCAAAAAGCACAAACTAGTACGAATCAGCCACATTAAATAGGTAATTTAAATAGCTCCGTAACTAATAAGAAAATTCAATTTGCGGTTTTTAAATTCCCAAAAAAGAAGTACCCAGATGGCTTCACTGGAGAATTTCACCAAACATTTAAAGAAAAATTAACATCAATTCTAAACAATCTTTTCCATAAAACAGACGGTAGAGGACGGTTTGCAAATTAATACCCTAAGACTAGGCAACAAAAGTATTTTAAAAACTACAAAACAATATCTCTCATTAATATAGATACAAAAATCTTTAACAAAATATTAGCCAATAGGATTCAGCAATATATACAAAGGATTATACACCATGACCAAGTGGAGTTTATTTCCAAGGATGCACAGCTGGTTCAATATTCAAACACCAATTGATGTAATTCATCATATGAACCAGCCAAAGAAGAAAAATCACATGACCGTACCAATAGATGTAGAAAAAGCATTTGACAAAACCCAACACTCATTCACAATAAAAACTCTCAGAAAACAGGAATATTTCCTCAACTTGATAAAGAGTATCTGCAAAAACCCTACCTCTGGCATTACGTTTAATGGTTAAAGACCAAATGTGTTCCCTCCAAGAGAAGAACACAGGAAAAACAAGGCAAGGTTAGTTGTGTGCTCTTCCCACTCTCACTCAACAGAAAGAAAAGCACACAGAGAAATAAAACTGCCCCTATTTGCAAATGACATGACTATCTACATGAAATCTCAAGAAAACTACCCAAAAAACAGAAAATAAAAAAATTCCTTGAACTAATAAATGAGCTCAACAAGGTCACATAGTACAAGATAAACATTGAAAATTCAACTGTATTTCTGTATACTAGCAATGAATACATAAACACAAATTTAAAATACAATAACATTTACAATCATTAGAAAAATGAAACACTCAAATATGAATCTAACAAAATGTGTACAGAATCTATGTTGAAAACTAATGCTGATGAAAGAAATCAAAGAAGATCTAAATAAACTGATAGACATATGATCATGAATTAGAAGACAACTCAACATGGTAAGAAAAAGAACAACGCATAAAAGAAAAAAAAAGATCTATTGGGTGTCACCAAACTTTAAAACTTTTTGCTCTGTGAAAGACTCTGTGAAGAGGATGAAAAGAGAAGATAAGGATTGGGAGAAAATATGTGTAAACCACATATCCGTTGTCAAAGGACTAGTATACAGGATCAGTGATCAAAACTCTCCCCAGAAAGAAAAGCCTTAAATGTAATGCTTCACTGACAACTTCTAGCAAACGTTTCCAAAAAATTGAAGAGGAGGGAATACTTCCTAACTCATTCTATGAGATCGGCCTTACCCTGATACCAAAGCCAGACAAAGACACTACAAGGAAAATAAAACACCAAAAAAAAAAAAAAAAAAAAAAAAAAAAAAAAAAAAAAAAAAAAAAAAAAAAAAAAAAAAAAAAAAAAAAAAAAAAAAAAAAAAAAAAAAAAAAAAAAAAAAAAAAAAAAAAAAAAAAAAAAAAAAAAAAAAAAAAAAAAAAAAAAAACTACTACAGACCAATATTCCTTATAAACATTGATACAAAAACCTTCCACAAAATATTAGCAAACCGAATCCAGCAGCATATTTAAAGGACTGTACACCATGACCGAGTGGGATTTATTCTTGGATTGCAGGGAGGGTTTGACATTAAAAAAAAAAAAAAACCAATCAATGTAATATACTGCATTAACAGAATAAGGGAAAAACGCCCATGTGATCATCTCGATTGATGCAAAAAAGGTGTCTGACAAAATCCAATACCTTTTCATAATAAAAATACCCAACAAACTAGAAACAGAAGGCAACTACCTCAACATACCATATATGAAACAGCCACATCTGAAAAACCATATATATATCAACAGCCATATCTGAAAAACACACATCAAATATCATATTCAGTGGGGAAAGACTGAAAGCTTTTCCTCTAACATAAGGAAAAGGCAAGGATGCCTGCTTTCACCACTTCTATTCAACACAGTACTGGAAGTTCTAGCCAGAGTAATTAGGCCACAAAAAGAAATAAAAGCATCCAAATTAGAAAGGAAGAAGTAAAATTCTCTCTACTCACAGATAATATAATCTTATATTTGGAAAACCCTAAAAATTCCATTTTAAAAACAACTGGAACTAATAAATGAATTCAGCAAAATAGTAGGACATAAAGTCAAAATACAAAAATCCGTTGCATTTCTATACACTAATAATGAACAATCTGAAAAGGAAATTACAGACACAAGTCCATATACAATAGCTTCAAACATAATAAAACACTTAGGAATTAACTAACAATGTGAAAGTCTTATATAATGACAACTACAAAACATTACTGAAAGAAATCAAACACCTAAATAAATGGAAAGGCACCCATGTTCATGGATTCATAGACTTAGTGTTGTTAAGATGTCAGTACTACTCGAAGCAATCAAGAGATTCAATGCAATCCCTACTAAAATCCCCATGATGCTTTTTGCAGAAACAGAAAAACCCATCCTAAAATGCATATGGAATCAAGAGACCATGAATAGCCAAACCAATCTTGAAAAAGAACAAGAGTTCTCTTGTACAACACTGACTACAGTTAATAACCATGTACTGTACTCTTGAAAATGGCTAAGAAAGTAGATTTTAAGCATTCTTACCACAAAACTGGTAACTATATGAGGTAATACATATGTTAATTACCTTGCTTTAGCCATTCTACAATGTATATGTATTTCAAAACATCACACTGTACACAATATATACAATTTTTGTCAATTAAAATATATAAGTAAATTAATATTTTTTTAAAATTTTTTTCAAAAGAAGAACAAACCTGGAGGACTCACACTTACTAATTTCACAATTTATTACAAAGCTATAGTTATCAAAAGTGTGCTACTGGCATGAAGACAGACATATAGACTAATGAAATAGAACAGAGGGCCCAGAAATAAACCCTCAGGTATATGATCAAATGATTTTTGACAAGGGTGCCAAGACCTTTCAACGGAAACAGGACAGTATTTTCAACAGACGGTACTGTGAAAAATGGATATACACATGCAAAAGATGAAGTTGGACCCTTACCTAAAACCATATACAAAAATTAATCCAAAATGAATCAAAGACCTAAGTTTAAGAACTAAACTATAAAACTCTCGGGGAAAAAAAAAAACACAAGGCAAAAGCTTCACAACATTGAATATAGCAGTGATTTCTTGAATATGACAAGCAAGGCAGAGGCAACAAAAGAAAAAACAGACAAATTGGACTTCCCCAAAATTAAAAGAAGAGTAAAAAGGCAATGCACAGAATGGGAGAAAGTATTTGCAAACCAAATATTTGACAAGGGATTAATAACCAGAATATATAGAAAACTCCTAAAACTCAACAACAACAACAAAACCCGAGTAAAAAAACAGGCCAATAAAAAAGGGGGTGGGGGGGCAAAGGACAAGTCATGCTGGATAATACTCATTTCTCCAAAGAAGCTTACAAATGGTCAATATGCACATGAAAAGATGCTAAACATCACTAATCATTACGGAAATGCAAATCAAAACTACAATAAAATACCACCTCACACCCATTAGGATGGCTACTATTAAAAAAAAAAAAAACAAGTGCTAGCATGGATGTGGAGAAATTAGAACCCTTGTGCACCAGTGGTGAGAATGTAAAATGGTACAGTCAATGTGGAAAACAGTATGGAAAACAGTATGGGTGGTTCCCCCCAAAATTAAAAATAGAATCACCATATGATTCAGCAATTTCACTTCTGGATATACCCAAAAGAACTGAAAAAAGGATCTCAAAAAGATATTTGTATGTCCATGTTCTTAGCAATATCATTCGCAATAGCTAAAACGTGGACACAACATAAGTGTCCATCAACAGATGAACTGGATAACCAAAATGTGGTATATACAGTAGGATACTATTCAGACTAGGGGGAAGAAAAAGGGAAATTCTGAAACATGCTTCAACACGGATAAGCTTTGAGGACATTATGCTAAGTGAAATAAGCCAGTAACAAAAAGATAAATATTGTATGATCCCATTTATGTGAGATACTTAGAGTAGTCAAAAATCATAAATATAGACAAGCGAATGGTGGTTGCTAGGGACTGGGGAGAGTAGAAAATGAGAAGTTATTGATTAATGGTTACAGAGTTCAATTTGGGAGGACAAAAAGTTATGAAGATGAATGGTGGTGATGGCTGCACAACATTACAAATGTATTTCATACCATGAAACTGTACACTTAGAAATGGTTAAGACAGTAAAATTTATGTTATGTGTATTTTAACACAATAAAAACTTGGGGAAAAAAAAGTAAAAAAAAAAAATCAAACAATCCAATAAGAACGGGAACAAAAAATATCTCACTGAAGAGGATAATCAGAAGGCCAATAAGCACATGAAAAGATGTCAACATCATTAGCCATTAGGAAAATGCTAATTAAAAACCACAATGAGACAAATGTGGTTTGTCTCATTGTTTAAAAAAAAGTGAGAACAACAACAAATAAAAAGTAAAAAATAAAATATAGCAACAACAACAAATGCTGGTAAGGATGTGAAGAAACTGGATTACTAATACATGGCTGATGGGCATATAAAATTATACAGCCACTCTGGAAAACAGTTCAGCAGTTTCTCTTAAAAAAAAAAACTAAACATACAACTACCATATAACCCAGCAAATGCACTCCTGGGCATTTACACCAAAGGAATAAAGACTTATGTTCATACAAAAACCTGTCAATGAATGTTTATAGCAGTTTTATTCACAATAGCCAATAACTAGAACCTCCCAGACGTCCTTCTATGTGTGAATGGTAAAACAAACTATGACACATTCATATCATACAATACTATTGAGTAATAAAAAGAAGCTATTTATATATGCAACAACCAGATAAATCTCCAGAGAATTATGCTAAGTTAACAAAGCTAATCCCAAAAGGATACATACTGTATAATTCTATTTACATGACATTCTTGAAATGACAAAAGACAGAAAGAGAAAACAGATTAGAGGTTAACAAGGAGGTGTGGGTATAAGGGAAATGCATGTCGCTATAAAAGAGCATAATGAGGGACACCTGCTGAGATGGACATGTTCTGAATCTTAACTGTATCAGTAAACATACCGGTTGTGATAGTGTACTACAGTTTTGCAAGAAACTGGACATGTTCTGCATCTTAACTGTAACAGTCAACATACTGGTTGTGATATTGTACTATAGTTTTGCAAGAAATTACCACTGGGGGAAACTGGGTAAAGGAGGCATGAAATCTCTCTGTATTATTTCTTACAACTCCACATGAAGCTATAATTATAAGTTGTAATTAAGTAAATTTAATTAAGGCTAACTAACTAAATAAATCAAAACACATACACGAAGCCCTGCTCTCATATACATTACATTCAGTCTACTATGTTGTAAACAATGAACAAATATATACAATGCCTGGTAACGATAACTGCTATGAATAAGGCAGGGTAAGAGGACTGAGAGTTAGGAGGGGAGTTCATATGTTGCAGGCAGTTTACAGGGTGTACTGGGTAAAATGCTATCATGAAACTCATACTAATACAGTCAACAACCAATTTCAGATTATAAGGAAAGATTTCAAAAACAGAAATGAAGAATCAACAAACATCCTTTACAGCATTCTCTCCTCATCCTAATCTAACTTATGCATCACACAAATCTTCTAAGGGATTCATTTGTAATATAGGACTATCTTTTCCCAGACATTTTTATTAGTGCTCTACCATTTATATCAACTCCACTTAAGCAAAACATTCAAGGTCCTTCAATACTGCTGCCATCACCTTTTTATGGTCAGGGAGACTGAAGCACAGAGAAGATGAGTAACTTACCTACCTAGTCAGCCAGCTGGGATGCCAGAGCTGAGAGAACCTTAAGCATTTTGCTTATATCCCTGTCATATTAGTCATGACTTGTTGCCTTGTATTGAAATTATTTTCATATGTACTATATATATATATATAAGATACATATAAATTACTTTCATATATATAAACGTGGGTACTTCAGAAAGTTTGTGGAAAAATGGAATTCAAAGATAACACAAATCTTTCCGTGAACTTTTTGAAGACCCCTCGTATATAAGTATTTCTTCATACATATTAAAGAAAGCCTGATGACTTCTTTCTCTACTATTATGCAAATTAACATTAAACAAATCCCATTCTTAGACAGCCTGGAGGTACTAGCAGACACTTCAGTACTTAAAAGTAGAAAGGAACAACCTACCTTGAATTTCTCCCTGAGGATCTTTGTAATACCACTTCTGCATTGCTTCATGCATCAGTGGAACTGATACTCCTTTAGCTCTGTGCTCTTGCAGTTTTGATGCCAGTCTCTCATCATCTAGTGCACTGTCTTGCAGATAAGCCACCATCTTCTCAGCTTGCTAATAAGAGAAAAACAAAAAACAAATTAAGGAAACAGATAATCCTGAATCAATACTTGTACATGCAGATTGGCCAGCAAGCTCAGCTGGTAAGAGCATGGTATTGTAACACCAAGGCTAAGGGTTCAGATCCCCATACCAGCCAGCAGTTTAAAAAAAAAAAACTTGTACACGTAATAACATTGCCTCTCTTTTTTGGACACTTGATCTGTGAAAGACACTATGTGAGGAACACAACAGATAATTTAATTCTCCCAATAATGCTGTGCAATAGGTACTATCCCTATTTTACAGAGGGGGAAACTAAGGCTCAAAGATGTCAAGTCTTGCTCAAGGTCTCAAAATTATTAAACAAACCAACTGAGATTGAAACACAAACTGGTGTGGGTCAAAGTTCAGGCTTCTAATCAACAAACAAGTACTTTTTAAACTAATAGGCCATTGGTCGATTCTAAATTATATAAACTAAACCTGTAAAAATAGGGATGTTAACAGAACGAAAGGCTCAATTAATGCAATTACAAAATAAAAAAACCTTTTTACAAGTTTCACTAAGACACTACCCCTTTCTTACTTTTTTTAACATTACCTGCCACTAACCATCCCACCCAAAAGAAAGAAGAAATTCTTTTGTAGAAAAGCAAGCTATAATTTACTTTACATATAACAATGGTATATACAATCTTACAAAATCTAGATACATGAATATGATGTTAATAACCTGAGAGTTTATCTTCCCTGTTACACTTGGGGCAAAAAATACTGAAGACACAGTGACCATCCACAGCTGCTTGTATTCGCCATTTCTGGCATTCCATTAACATCCAAAAAGAAAAAAGAAAACAGCTAAGGGCAATCTCAGAAGAGCAAAAAACCTGACATAATGACTACCACATAGCAGAAACTTAAAAGCATGAAACGATTTGAAAGACAATTATTCAAACAAACAAATACTAAATATCCAGACAACTTTTCCGGTACTTAAAAATCTAGTGCACAAAAGTTTTATATTTGAATATTCTTTTAACGCTTTCTAATTTGTATGGCAGTCTGAAAGGAAACAAAAAGAATTACATGATTTTTACCTGTTCCAAATGTTTGAGACCCTCTTCATCATCTGGCTCTGTGGAAACACCGCCCATACCAGGAGCACCTACAACTGATGTTTCAACTGGCCGGAGGGCAGGACTAGGATTGGGAACAGGAGGTGGAAGCATGAGAAGAGGAGAGGCTGTATCTGAAGGAATCTGTGACAGGGGCTGTTGGACATCAGGAACCATTTCTAGAGGAAAAAAATTCAGACAGACGAAAATCATCTGAAATACAGAAACTCTTATGAAGTCTAACTCTACATTATCCAATTGGGCAACCTGCTAAACGGGCCCAACAGAAACTGAACTCTGTCATGAACTCTGAAGCGACTTGTCATAGAGAAGTACGGTGCTTCTCCCTAGAATGACAGAATTACCTCCACAGAATGACAAAAGACAAGGTTTAAAAGGTCTTTCTGCAGTGCCTACCTGTGTCACTAGAGCACCTACCCAACAGCTATAGGTCAACCTCTTGTAAACAAACATGTTGCCAAATAAAAGAGAGTTATCAAAGCACCCCAAATCTCAAAGACATGTCATAGTTCATCAAAACCCCTATTAAAAATATCTGCAATTACCTTGAAGTACCTATTTCAAGTAATAATTAATATAATTCAAACATTACATGTTTTAAGATAATAAAAAGCACTTGGAGTCTACCTGTATAATGCAGTATGTTCCTCTCAATAAGAATTAAAATTGTGGCTGTCTGGTTGGTTGGTTGGTTAGAACACAACCTTATAACACCAAGGTCATGGGTTTGGATCCCCATATTAGCCAGCCACAAAGATAAATAAATGTACACTTTAAAAAAAAAAAAAGGAAAGAATAAAAATTGCCAAAAAGTTTCTGTCTTGATTCCTATTTCTAACCTCTCAGTATGCAGGCTCTTAAGAAGGAAAGGGGATGGAAGTAATTAGATACAACTGCAGTTTCCCCTTTGAAACCTTATTTGTTCAATTACAGATAGCTTCTCCAAATTCCTGTTCCTCTCACTCTTTCTGTGCCAAACTTTTTTTAAAGGACACTTTAGACATGCTGTCTCCACTTCACCACCCACACCTGCTACAATGTGACTTCCACTCCCACATCTCCAGTTAAGCTCTTCTCTCAAAGATAAGCAGTGACACAGAGCTGTTAAATTCAAAGGCTTTTCCTAGTCTTCATTACCCACTCCCTTAGCAGTAGCATCTCACATTATCAATCCAATTCTAAGCTAAAATGTTCTCCTTGCTTAGTTTCCCAGCACTCTACTCTCCTAGCTCTACTTTTGCCTCTGAAGAATTTTTTCTGGTTCTTCTTCCTCTACCTACCCTCTAAAAATAGGAATTACTCAAGGTTCTATTCTCCTCCACTTCTCTTCTCACCCCTAACAAATGTGTATAATCTTTTAAATGTTCATTCTCTTTCTGGCCCTAAACTATTCCCATCTAACTACAGTCCCTCATTCAACACTGCTCTCTAGCCATCTCTACTTCTCATCAACACCTCAGAATCAATGTTTCAAACTGAATTGTCTCTCCCCTCCCAAATGTGCTCCTAACTTCCACTCTTTTCCTGTGAAGGGAACCCAATCCTTTCAGGCATCTCAGTCATCTTTGACTATTCCCTCTTTTTTACCCTGACTTCCAGTTAATGACTAAGTCTTGCAAATTTCTACTTTGAAATCTCCCCTGCCACAAGCTCCCTTTACAGGTGTACTGCCTACTTTGTAGTGACTGCTCAGGAGTCTAACAGGTCACAGTGCAGCCCATCTGCTATCTAAAAAAAATGAGAAGCTGATTCCTGCCCATTCTTGGATCAGTCCCCCCTTCCTCACTTTTGCTTTCACTACTCCCTAGTACTGGAATGCCCTCTTCCAATTCACCCAAGCTATACATACCTCCAAATTCTTATTATTCCAAGATTGACTGTTTCCTGAGATGTTCCAAGACTCTACCAATACTGAATTTATATCATTGCTTTTTGCCCTGGATAACTGTCATACACATGCTTTATCTCCCGTACAGACTCCAGATCTGAAGTTTCAACCTGTAATTCATATCTATGAAGCTTTCTCAAAATACGTATGTCTGGAACTGGTCAGTTATCTCAGTTGGTTAGAGCACAGTGTTGATAACAACAAGGTCAAGGATTAGGATCCCCATACCGGCCAAAGGCCAAAACAAACAAACAACAACAACAACAAAAATATGTCTGCAGTCAATCCTAAAGTCTCCTATAATAAGGACTCAGACTTGTTTGTTCAAGAGAATGCACAACAAGTAATTCTGACATATGTCATAACTAAAAAAACAACTACCACAAATCAAATAGGTCTCAAGATGTACAGGTCCCCACAGTGACTACTATTTAGATATTTAAATACTTGCTGAATTCACTCAGTTTTGTTCTAAACATAAAAAACTGAAAAGAAAGTCTTGGTTCAAGCCCTCAAAATATCAGTCTAATGGAAAAAAATAAATAAACAAACAGATCTTTACAATATTTTAATTATATATTTGGAATAGCGCTGGTTGTTTAAGAAACAAGACGACACAGGGCCGGCCCATGGCTCACTCAGGAGAGTGCGGTGCTACTAACACCAAGGCCACGGGTTCGGATCCTATATAGGGATGGCCGGTTAGCTCACTGGCTGAGCATGGTGCTGACAACACCAAGCCAAGGGTTGAGATCCCCTAACCGGTCATCTTTTAAAAAAGAACTTTTTTTAATTAAAAAATATAAAAAGAAACAAGATGGCACCTAACCCAGTTTGGGGTCTTTGAGTGGAAGAGTTTCAGACATAGAGAAAAGCATGTACTAAGGTATGAACATGAGAAAACAGGGCACATTTCAGGACGTAAAAGGCTTTGAGGCTGGTGAGTAGAGTATTAGGAAGATAAAGAGGCTACGGCTAAAAGTGCACAGAGGGAGGCAGATGTCAGATCATGAAGGGTCTTGTAGGCCACGTTAAAGGGTGTGAATTTTTATGTTGAGTGAATCAAACAACTAACCTTTCAACATCAGGAATCACAAAGTCATCTTTTAGTATGCATAAGAAGAAACATAAAAATAAATAATATCGGGCCGGCCCGGTGGCGCACTGGATAGTGCGCTGCTTGGGAAGCGCTGCAGGGCTCCCGCCCGAGGGTTCGGATCCCACATACAGACCAGTTCCCGCTCACTGGCTGAGCGAGGCGCGTAAATAAATAAATAAATAAATAAATAAATAAATAAATAAATAAATAAATAAATAAATAAATAAATAAATAAATAAATAAATAAATAAATAAATAAATAAATAAATAAATAAATAAATAAATAAATAAATAAATAAATAAATAAATAAATAAATAAATAAATAAATAAATAAATAAATAAATAAATAAATAAATAAATAAATAAATAAATAAATAAATAAATAAATAAATAAATAAATAAATAAATAAATAAATAAATAAATAAATAAATAAATAAATAAATAAATAAATAAATAAATAAATAAATAAATAAATAAATAAATAAATAAATAAATAAATAAATAAATAAATAAATAAGCCTACTAAGGTGTATGAGCAATTTAAACCAATACAGTAACACTGGAAAAGATATGTTTTAAGCTTATTCCCTATCAAAGGTGTTGGACTTCCATGAATTCATCCATGTTCTCTTTTTTTACTTCTTTTAGAAGAATGGCGTTGTGGTGTGTCATCTGCTGACTTAAATACAGCACACAAACAGCCAGACATTACATGAAAAGAAGGTAACTGTCTGATATGGGAATCTAACTATTGCAGAGGATCCCAAACCTGAATTTGCTAGTGTGATACCAGGGTGACTATGCAAAAGGCCCTAGGAAATGATATTCCTGAGCTCCAGCCTTTCAGATTCTAACTCTGTTTTGGTGAATTTTCTGGGATGGATACATACGTGGGAAGCATTTTTTGACTGGGTTTACTGGTAAAATTACCTATTCTAATAATACACCCACTATAAGCAGTTCTAGGAGGCATAAACAGAAGCCTATCATATCAGTGATCACTGGCCTCAGCAGAACCCTATTTTAGCTGGTCTACTGTCACAAATACATACCGTCCGCTCTGCTGGGCACTTTGGCTGGTACACTATTTTCCGTCCGACTCTCCTCTTCAGCTTTGTCCGTTTGCTCAGTCTGGGGTTCATCTTTCCTCTCAAACTGTGGTGTTTCCTGAGGTTGATGGTCTGAAGGAGTACCTGGTCTAGCAGATGATGATGAGGTTTGGGGTGTTTCCTCACTAGCTTCTAGGAACATGAAGTAATCTTAAGTGAACTTAGGAAAGTTTGGTTTTAATGAAAAAAAAAATGGTAAAAGGCAAAAATGGGCCTTACCAACTCCTGATCTGTCTGTTTTCTCTGCCTCTTTCTTATTTGTCTTATCAGGTTCTTTGGCCTCTTCATTATGGCTACCCTCAGAGTCAGAGCACTCCTCCCCTTCCTCCACAGGCCGGAAGTCCATCTCCTGCTCTTCTGGAATAGGCTCTTTCTGTACTTTCTGCAGCAAAAAAATAAAACCAAAGGTCAACTGCATATCTGGCTTTGGTATAAGGTCAGTGACTGTCATAACATTTAAAATAAATTTCTTACTTTTAGAGAGAGGAATGCTCCAGACGAGTCGAATGTGCCCATTTCTTCTTCGGCATCCTCTAAGCACCATTCAGGCAAACTATCCCTGTCATCATCTATGCTCCCACTGCCTGAGCGCACCCTTCGGTAACCCCGTTCATCATCCCGATCTCGAAAATCAAACTCAAACCTTCGACGTCGTTCCATGTGTTCCCGCCAGCCTGCAGAACGAGGGCCATCTGGGATGAGGAGGACACATACCTTAGAAAAGTTTTATGACAGTATTTGGAAAAGAAAATCTTGGATAGGAAATAAAGGAGAAAGCTAAACTGACAACAAATTCAAATGGATCAACCTACTAACAAGAAAATTAGGCAAATTCAATGAAGTTCAGAACTCAGAGTATTTATACCATCACTAAGTGACAAGAGTACTTATCTTCATTAAGATAAGTACTGAGCCATGCAACATACTCTGAAGTTTTAAAAGATAAATTTAAAATAGCATGTTTAAAGGACACTTTATTCAAAGTGTGCACTTCTAATAAGCTTTAGGTATCTGATTAAAATAACGATTAGCCATTCACATGGCCTACTCCTAGCCAAGACTTACAGCACTGGATGTATTTCTGCACAGAAGATTATGCCCTCCCTTTGGCAGATCTTAAAGCATTTTCTTTTTTCCCATGAAAATATCACTCTTTTTGGATAAGACCAGCTAGCCCTGTGTTAATTCATAATATCAAACTCATTACACTCATTTACTAGTGCCAAGTTCCCATTTGTAATTCTGATTCCTAATGAAAAGTCATGGAATTACATCACTGACAGATGTCATAGAGATTTTATATGGCCCACTATCTTAATTTTATAGTTTAAGAAGAAAGTGAAACTCTGACAGCAGAAGTAACTTGCTCAAATGGCAAAATGAACTAGAATCCAATTCTACATCCTCTGCTGCTTTTTGAACAACATGCTTACTCTTTTCTCTTTTTTCTCATCTCTTAATTTTCTCTAGGGATTTTTTATTTCTGTATTAATAACCCCAGGGACATTCCTAAATCCACCCTAGGATACTATTTATTGCATCTACTTTCCAACAGAAAAAGACTGCCTAAGAATAAAAAATATCCCACTTAAGGTATTTTTCTGAAAAAAAAATAGGAAAACTCTTTTTAAAATCTGACTAACTCACATCTAAAAGAGTCTTAAAAAGAAAGGCAGGTTTTAACCTATTAGAATTTTCTATCCTTGATTCCTTTCTCTTACGAAGATACACAAAATTAATGAGGCCCAATTTAAATGTTCTTACTACTGAGGCCCAATTTACTAAAACCAGCAATCTAAAAATCAAAGTGAAAAACAAAGGGCAAAATGTTAAGATGCCAAATACAGGTAGAATCTTATAAGCCACTCAAAAAGATATGAAAACATTATTCCCACACTCCCTACCCCAACTCACAACAACAAAATACTATTTACTAACTTCTATGAGAACTAAGGAATTTTACACCCAGACTGCTTCAATGTAAACCTAGAGGTATTACTCAAAAGGAGTCTTCAGGATCAAATGTTGAATTCCAGAGTCCTCTGTCTATTACTATCATTTCTAAACAGTCTAAGTATGCACCGTGATAGGAATCTATCCTTCTAGGCACCCGGCTCATGTTTCCCTCTTACTGAGTTTCCTAAGTTCAGCTCCCAGAGTGAACGCTTCGCTGTCCTTAATGCCCCCATCTCCATACATATCTAGCTGCACATAACTGTATCCCAGAATTTTATTGTTGTATTATCAATAGTTAATAAAATTTTATTCATGAAACTAAATGGAAAGGCAGATTTACAACTTACCGAGGCTGACCACTGCTTTATAGACCTTATATCAGAGCTAAATTGAATACTATTTTCATAAAATAAAAATCAGTCATAATAATTATATTTAAAATTTTATTCAAATCCTAATAAAAGATTAACTACAATCTGAGAATTGCTAAGAGTTCATTTATAACAACTGCTATAATCAGACTAAACTTTCAATACACTGAGTTAAAAAAGTAGATGCCATTCTTTTAAAAAAATGCACTCACAGTGTTTTTTCAGACCCATATATCTTTATATTCCCCCAAACTGTCTTTAAAAAAATATACGGACAAAAAAATTTTGGAAGTTGTCAAGTTGATGACAAAACTGACATGAAAGCCAAATATTACAGAATAAAAAAGATTTTTAAAAGATGAGAAAAGGACAATACATAACCAAATTCTAGGTTGTTGGATGGGGGTCAATGGTAGAAGATAACACTAAAATTTTACTTAATTTAACTCCCTTTAAAAGAATCAACATCAGAAGTTCAGACTAAGAAACACTGCTCATCTTCCAAAACATTCACCTTGTTTGTTTTTGATCAGCTGGAATTTCTCTTCTTGCTCAGCCCAGACCCTGTCCATTCTTCACTGAATGCTTGTTGGGAACATAGTCTACAAACTGTTTTGCTTACAGGCAAGCTCAGCACAAAATGCCGTGATGCCTTGAAGAGAACTATAACATGTGGTTGCCCAAGATACAGACTGATGAGAACTGCCTAGATCCTGTGATGTAAACAATGCCCACTAATGACAGAAAACCCGCCCAAAAGGCAGCCATGAAGAGTTAATATAAAAGCATCATAATCCATCCAAAGATTAACTTTACTATGATTCCATCTACCTACAACTCCATAACACACTTTGAATGCCTATTATTGTTTACGCAGACCTAAACTAGTGGTTTTGCTAATTAATAAGTAAAAACCTTTCACATAATTATAATTTCCTCTATTGGGGCTGGCCAGTTGGCTCAGTTGGTTAGAGCATGGCTCTGATAACACCAAAGCCCATGGCTCTGATAACACCAATCCCTGTAGCAGCCAGCCGTTCCCTCCAAAAAACAAAAATTGTCCTCTATTAAACATAAGCTACCTTGGCATATGGTTGAAAAAATATTGTTATGCACATGAAATTCATAGGGCATGTACATACACTTTTTGTGCTTAAATTCCTCATGACCCCATTATTCAAACGACAGTTGCATCTGATTATCATGAGGCATGGGATCAGCACTTCAGTAGGGGATGAACTTTAACACAAAGCACCACTGTCTTCAATTACCAGCGTATCTAATGTCCAAAAAGAACAGTGTGAAGCATTCTTAAGAGTCAAAGAGAAGAACTTAAAAAACCACTAATCACTAGTATTAGCTCTCCTTTTTCTAAAGTTACAGGAACAAAAGAATGAACTTACAATTATGTTTTCGACCTGGGTTTAAAGTTTATTCTTCAAATAAGCATAAATCACATGTTCAGGGGGGGAAAAATGAGAATAAATCCTTTCTTATGCAGGAAAAACACCCATGCGGAGTGGACACACATATTCCAAATGTATAATTACACATTTGTAAGTTTTAAAGAATGGTGAAAAACAGATTCAAAGTTTACAGTTAGACAAAACTGAATGAAACTCTCTCATTTTTGCAGTTGCAGGCAGGTGCTTCCCATTAAATTACACTTTTTGTCCCAGAAAAATACAGAAAAGTTATTTCAATCAACTAAAGAGACATGGTGGGGAATTTTTATGTTGAAATTTTTTTGCAGTAATAAGACTGTGTGATGGCATAAACGACTCATTTTTTTTTTAAACTAGTTTATCTTTTCCACTTAATCCCTAACAATTTCCAAACTCTCACTTATTTACTTCAGTCACTTTGTGCTTCTACTCAGAATCCTTACCAGGACTGTGAGGCCGCCACCTCTCTCCATCCCTTCTTGATCCAGCTAGTCGCCAACCTCCATCATCATCCTCTCCATTTTGTTCCTCTCTAAAGATACGCCAATTTTCACTTTCTGAGCGTATAAATTCATGCTTTCTCCCCACTGATGTTGGTCCACCTTCCTCAAAATTTGGTCTTCCTATAAAGAAAATAAGTAAATATGGTAAGCAAACATGAGTATCCGCCAGAAAAAATTTTGAAAAACAAACTTGACAGCTCAAATCAAGCTTTGCTACAAAGGCGTCAGTTTCAGTGTTCAGAAAGTATCAATAAATGGATATATGCATATATTATCAGACACATTTCTTTTTCAACATATTTTATTTTTTATTTTTTTTTAGCAGCTGGCCGGTACAGGGATCCAAACACTTGACCCTGGTGTTATAACACTATGCTCTAACCAACTGAGCTAATTGGCTAGCCCTAGACGTATTTCTTAAAGCTGAATGTTCATAGACTAGGCAATTATTTTTTAAACAAAAATAGTATGTGCATTAAAAAAAGGCACGCAATGAAAAGTCAATCTTCCTACACAAAACACCCAGAGACTTACTCCCCCAGAGACTTACTCTCCAGAAGCAACCAGCATCAACAGTTTCTTATAAAGCCTTCCAAAAACTGTCCAGTGGTACACTTATGCACATATATGCAGCTCCCTCATCGACACCCTCAGGATATTACACATGTTGTTTTGTACCCTTGCTGTTTTTACTTAATGGTATCTCTTACCTATCCTTACTTACCAGTACATTTTATTTTAAAGTTATATAATATTTTTATTATTTGATGTACATTAACCAACCTCTACTGGTGAATATGTTGAAAGAGCATATCTGCTCATTTCAACCTCTTTTTTAATTCCGAAACTGTAAATTTAAAGACTGTGAGCTATAATTTTTCATTTACTCTAGCACCTAGTACAATACAGACATACAACAAATTGCTTTGGGAATTTAAAGCTAAGCTATATCTAACTTAATGTCTCAAGAGTTACATTAATGATAAAAGAGAGCCTGGTATACCAAGTAAACTAAATTGATACTTTAAAAGGAAAAGAAAATGCTAAATTATGCAAATTCTTTACTCACCATCACACATGTGCTAACATATACAATTCATAACAATGTACAAAATATCACATAAAAGTAATTGAAAATCCAGAACATAAGGTATACTGATGTCCTCAGTTTATAACAATAAAGTTACATATTCTCTCAGTGACAAACTCAATCTTTTTCATTAAACCATACTAAAAAATGGGGGTGGGGGGGACTGAACAATGGAGATGAGGAAAATTCTAATTTCTGGTCATCCTCTTACATGTATGGCAATTCAACACCCTGTTGACAACATATGGTTGTTAGTTTGCTACCAGTGATCATTCTATTACAGGATAAAAAAATCTGGGGGGATTATGAGGGCAGTATATGCTGGTACCGGCTTTCTTATTGTGGTAGACAGCCTCTAAGAGCCCCCCAACAATCCCCGCCTGCTGATCTTTGTATAAACCTCTCCCCTTAAGTGTGGGCTGTACTTACTGACTCACTCCTAACAAACAGAATATAGCTGGTAATGAGATACCATTTCTGATACTAAGTTTAAAAAGACTACAGCTTCCATTTTGGACACTTTCTCTGAAGGAAGCCAGCTGTCATGCAGTGAGGCAGCCCTGTGGAAAAGCTCACATAGCAAAGAACAGAGGCTTGCCACCAGAAACATGAGCGAGTTTGGAAGTGTAACCAATCCCAATCAAGCTGAGATGACGCAGCTTGGGCTGATGATTCCTGGCTCGCAGAAACTCAGATAATGTTTGCTACTTTCAGCCATTTGAGGTAATACGTTACACAATCATAAATAATAAAAACACTCACTTATCTGATTTAATCTTCATAACAATCCTAAGTATTAGAAGTTATTTTTCCCATTTTATAGCTGAAAATATTGAGGCTCAAAAAAATAACCTAGGAGACTTGTCTAAAATCACACACTACTATTAAATGGCACAGACAGGATACAAATGTTAATCTTCTGATCATTCAATAAATATCTATAGAACACTGAGTGCCAAGTTTTATGGATTCAAGTGCACACATATTATTCCATGTCTGTCCTTGGGTTAGAAGACCTTTCAGGTTCTCTTGCTTAGAATAAAAGGGGATAACCCATTTTACAAAGCACCACATCCATTATAAGACTTGATGAAAACTATAGCTGTACTTATAAAAGACAAACAAATTAAAAACAAAGAAATCCGTAATGTGTACAAATTGAAAAATAAAAAGAAATGGCTTTTGGGCCGGCCCGGTGGCGCACTGGATAAGTGCGCCGCTTGGGAAGCGCGGCGGCGCTCCCACCCGAGGGTTTGGATCCCACATACAGACCGGTTCCCGCTCACTGGCTGAGCGAGGCGCGGGGGCAGCGCCGAGGGTTGCAATCCCGTTGCCGGTCCCTGGTCTGGTACGGGGGCAACACTGAGGGTTGCGATCCGTTGCCGGACACAGAAAAAGACAAAAGACAAAAGACAAAAAAAAAAAAAAAAAAAAAAAAAGAAATGGCTTTTAACCAATATAATCAGTTAATCACAAATATTATATGCCAGGCACTGAGCTATGACTTAGAAATACAGTAGTGATCACATGATGAATTATCTGCTCAACTTTTACACGAAGCCTCTGAAAAAAAGTAATGAATGTACCAAAGTAACAAAATAGTGCTAAATGGGGAAATGCATAACTCAACAAACACCAGTCATTATTTTTTCTAACGTGATAAACTGTAAAAATTTTGTTATCAAAAATGAAAATACTGGGCCGGCCCGGTGGCGCACTCAGTGGAGTGCAGCGCTTGGGAGCGCGGTGGCGCTCCCGCCGAGGGCTCGGATCCCATATAGAGACCAGTCCGCTCACTGGTTGAGCGCGGTGCGGGCGCGACACTGAGGGTTGCGATCCCGTTACCGGTCACGAAAAAAGACAAAAAGGAAAAAAAAAAAAATGAAAATACTAGTAATCCCACAATCTTAAAAACAGAAATCTATTTATCTGTGATTAGCTTAACTTAAATAATACAAATTTATCTTTTTATGTAGTTGCAATCTGTGTACCTAATATTTTGTAATCTATTTTTCATCAATGATAGCAAATACTTCTCTGTGATTATACATCTTCCTAAAAATACAAAGGGACACATACTAGTTATATCTTGTTGCTGTAGCATAATGCACTAGACTATTCCCCCACTGGATATTTACTTTATAACTAATTTTTTGCCAACTATAGATAACGAAACAAGAAATATTTGTGTGCATATGTGTTTGCTTTTTTAAGCTACTGCTTCTGGGAAAAAAAAAAAACTCCAAAGAGTGAAATTACTAGGTCAAATGAAAGACTTGATGCATTGAAATACCATTCCCCCATAAAAAAAGAGGTCAGCTACCATATCATTTTACATTATCAAAACTAAATGCTACTATCCTTTTAAAACTTTATTACTTTGTTGTAAAATGGTATAGTAATGTGGCTCGAATGTGAATGTTTCATAAAAAAGATTTTTCATGTTGTTTATTATTTCCCGTTATATAAAGTTTTTATTTGCTTTCAGTAATGGGCCACAATAATCAACCACATTGTATATCGACAAAATAAAATATTATTAAAAAGAAAAAATAAAAATAAAGTTTTTATTTGCAATTTTTTTGTCCTAAACTAGCAGCTTCTTTAGTTTTTTAACTGTCAAGTCTTACAAATATTTCTCAAAATATTAATACCCAGGAACAAGAAAAATATAAAGGACAGAATAGGGTAATAACAGAAAAACTATAGGGAGAGAAAAAATCTGGCTTTTCTACTTACTGAAAACTATCTTGCAATTCTCAAACTGTTGGAACACTTGTACATGTCATAAAGTTTGAATGACCATTTCTGCTATTTCTGGTTTAAAAATGTATTTGAGACAGAAATTATAAAGATAAAGAGGAGCACAGCACCAAAGAAAGAATGATGATTTTTGGAGACATCAGACGTAGTTTTAAAAGCTGGCTCAAATTCTGATCTGTACACTTCAACTAATGAAGACCCAATTCCCCATTTGAAAGAAGTTTCAGCATATGTATGTGTTAAGGTGAAGCAAAATGAATTTACCCATTCTAGTTCAAATATCTCAACAAAGGATTTCAAATTTTGTTATAAGTGACAGTTTCCACAAAGTAATTTCTAAAAACTGCAATATACTTTTTTGATGTTAAATATTACATAATGAATAACTGCAATAGAAAAAAATTAGATTAAGACTTCTCTGATAAACCAAGAAAAACCAGAATAATATAATTCTGACATGCCAAACATATCCCACATGTAAGAGCAAAGTGGGTGGAAGGGGGTCACTGTCACTTTCATAAGAAAAGGTGAAAAGGATTCGAGAACTTTTAAATGGACTTCACTCATGTCCTACCCCCCACCAAGAGAACTTTTTACTGAGTTATAACATTATTACAAAAAAGTACACAAATCACAAACACAGAATTCCCTGAGTTTTCATAAAGCAAATATAGCCATATAACTACCACCTTAGATTTTTTAAAAATTCATTAAGCCTTTACCAAGGTAAGCACTATCCTGACTTATATCCCCAAGTATCAGTTTTGCCTGCTTTAAAATTTTTTTATATAAATGGAATTTACATTTACATCAGACTTCTTTCACTGAACATTACAGGATATTCATTCATGTTGTTACAGAAAACAGTAATTTGTTCTTTTGCATCGCTGTACAGAATCTCAATGTAAGAAGAGATTATACCAGTAGTGTATTTTTCTTACCCTACTACTGATGGACCTTTAGGCTGTTTGTAGATTTTGCTATTATGAATTGTGCTTCTATGAACATTCCTGAATATGAATTTTGGTAAGCATGTGTTTGCATTTGTTGGGTATATACATAGGAGTAAAACTGCTGGGTCAGAGTATGTTCAACTTTTCTAAGTACTACCAAATATTTTTTCTAAAGAAACAGTACTACTTCAACATTTGTTTGCTCAAACCTCTAGGAAAATTAACATGACTGCGTCCTCTACAGATAAACAGAATTAGAGACATAGTATTAAAAACAAAGAAAATACTTAGACATAACACTTGCCCTCCAGTTC